CGTTTGGAATCAGTGTGGGGTTCTTTTGGCTCTCTCGGTTTTTGATGGGTCGATTCAGGGACTAGTTTGGGTGTAGGTTTCTCCTACTGTATAGGCTTAATTGCAGTTTCGGTAGCAGACTCCTGGCCTGAATTTGTCTTGTGTCGATCGGTCACTGCTGGTTCGGGCTAACTCGTTCGCTGGGGAAGGACTTTGTTTGTTGATAGATTAGGTTCCTTTGCCTTAGTTTTCTTGTCGTGTTGTGCTTGTGTTTTTGGTTGGACCATTTGGTCTATGTGATTTTTTATCTGTTTTAGTTATTTAGTTGTTTAGTTGTTTAGGGTCGTGTTTTTGGTCTGGGCCGTTGGCCCCTATGAGCCCATTTGAGTACGGGTGTTTCCTCGTTTGGGGTCGTTCCATATTAACTCGTTTGGGGTCGTTCCACATCACCCCACTGGGGTCGTCTTATTTTGTCTGTGCCTTTGGTTCTTGTGTTGGTGTTTGAGTCGTTTTCTTTCTAGCCTTGCTAGCGATTCTAGGCGGACCTCGGTCTAGCCACCAAGTTTGTATTTTCGCATATTTGTGCGCTTATCTATATTACATCTATAGTTCCGAAAAAAAAAAAAAAAATTATTACAACATATGAACTTTTCACTGTATTTTGAAATAAATGTGGATACTTTTAAATTTAAACGGGGTTCTCTTGACAAACAATATAAACAAAACTTTGGCATTTCACAAAACTTATTACTACAACATATGACCCTTTCACTGTCAGCTGTAATTATCTTACCGTAATCTTCAGAAACAGATAAACCTCTTACATTAATTCCTCAAAAGTCAACCCCAAACGAAAAAACTTTCCCCCAAATCGAACGATGGACGTGGATTACAATCCGAGCCGAAAATCCCTAATCAAGAACAAATGGGTAGCCACGGCCGCCGGCATATGGATCCAATCCGCCGGCGGCTCCCTCTACACCTTCAGCATCTACTCCTCCGTCTTGAAATCCACCCAGGGCTACGACCAGTCCACCCTCGACACCATATCCGTCTTCAAGGACCTCGGCGCCAACGTCGGCATCCTCTCCGGCCTCCTCTACTCCTTCTCCTCCGCCGCCGCCGGCCCGTGGGCCGTTCTGCTGGCCGGGGCGGTCCAGTGCTTCGCCGGCTGCTTCCTCATGTGGCTGACGGTGACGGGGGCTCTCCCTAGGCCGCCGGCGGCGGTCATGTGCCTGTACATGCTTCTGGCGGCGCACGCCATGACCTTCTTCAACACGGCTAATGTGGTGACTGGGGTGCACAATTTTCCTAGTTATGGTGGCACCATTGTTGGGATTATGAAGGTTTGTTCCAAAAAAAAAAAAAGTTAGCGCCTTTTTGAATTGTGGATTAAATTTATTGTGATTCAAATCGAGGGTTTCAGTGTATATGATTGTTTTGTGAGCCATTTCATAGTTTTTTAATTACTGTGTGCTTTTATCTGTTTACCTTTTTACAGGGATTTCTTGGTCTAAGTGGAGCCATACTAATACAAGTGTACCAAACAATCTTCAAGAACAAGCCAAGTTCTTACTTACTGTTACTGGCTTTGCTTCCCACAGTCACATCTCTTATACTGATGGGGTTCGTAAGAATCTATAAAACGAACGAGGATGATGAGAAAAGGCATCTTAATGCTTTCTCATCCATGGCCATTGCTTTGGCTGCCTATCTCACAGCTATTATAATAATCCAAAACATCTTCAAGTTAAAATTGTCCATTCGTGTTGTTACGTTTGTTATACTCGTGCTCCTCTTACTACTTTCGCCTATTTTCGTTGCGATTAGAGCCCAACGGGCTAAATCATACAGGGCTGTGAAATCCCTGCTTGAGCAGAATCAAAATTTTTCAGATGAAAAAAATATTCTTGTTGAGGATGTAATCTCGAATGCTAGGCTAGCCGATCTCGGTGAATATCATGAAATTCCAGACGGTACGGACCAGACGAGGGACATGAATAACTTAAATCTACTGCAAGCAATGCGAACGGTAAATTTCTGGTTTTTATTTATTACTACGGCTTGTTCTTTTGGCTCGGGGCTTGCCACAGTGAATAATATAAGCCAGATAGGAGAATCTCTTGGCTACACGAGCCTAGAGATCAACACTTTAGTTTCTCTATGGAGCATATGGAATTTTCTTGGCCGTTTTGGAGCCGGCTTTATCTCTGACTACTTCTTGCATGTCAAAGGTTGCCCGAGACCTCTGTTTATTGTAATTACTTTGGCAGCTATGTGCATTGGCCATGTCATGATCGGTCTCGGTTTTCCTAACTCTCTTTATGCTGGTTCGGTTCTTGTTGGGGTCTCTTACGGTTCACAATGGTCGTTAATGCCAACAATTGCCTCCGAGTTATTCGGGAAAGTTCATCTCGGCACAATATTTAACACGATCACGATTGCGGGTCCTATTGGGTCGTATATTCTTTCGGTTAAGGTTGTGGGCTATATATATGACAAGGAAGTGCCGGAATATGAAGAGATGTGTATTGGGACTCGTTGTTTCATGTCATCATTTTTCATCATGGCAGCCGTTACTTTCGGTGGTTCTCTTGTTGGCTTGGGATTATTGTTTCGGACGAGAAAGTTTTACAAAGATGTTGTGCTACAAAGGGTTTTATATTCCTTGCGACAGAGCAGGATTGCGATTGATGTCGAGTAAAATGAGGTTTTTGTATCTGTGTGTAAAATGCTTTTCCTATTTGATATTTTGCTTGGAGAGTTTTTTTTTTTCCCATCCAAAGTATTTGAAAAGCATAAGTAAAGAATAACAAGCTATGGAACAAAGCTGAGTTACGACTATTCATCCAGTCGACACGATTTTCACTTCTTGTTCTCTTCTGTATTCTTAATTTTGTCGATAATTGCGTCGACTCTACAAATGTGCCGTCATTTGCCTTCATATGTAATCGGCAGATACAGTCCGAGCCTGGAACCAGCAGATACAACAGTTTTAAGAAGGTATAGCTACATGTGATAAATCCCTTTTCAAGTTCAGCTCAACTGCAAATGCCTTTTGACATTAACTTATATGTTGCAGATTTTATGAATGAGTTTTTCTCAGGTGCATTGATGAATTAAGATTAAATCCACCAATTTGTGGTTTTGAATTTTATTGACGAAGATGAGACGCATTTCTGATTTAATTTTGAGATTATATATTATCCATACATGCTCCCCTACTCACGGTAGACACATGTTAATATGTTCACCGCTTATGTGGCATGCACACATTGGTGATGTAATTTTTTGAACATATTAACATCGTCAATATATGCATGCCACATAAGCGGTGAGCATATTTACATGTGTCCACCGTGGGTAACCTTATTGTATCTATACATATTTAGTTTTGTAAATATACATATATATATATATATTGTTAGAAAATCAGTTAAATAAAATTTGGTATGGCCTAATTTTGATTGATTTTTTATGGCTAAATATTTAACTCGGTGAATTAAATTGTTCACAAAAATACTAATGCTCTAAACAAATACTAATGTTATGGGTAGATATTCGTGGTATATTTATTTTTAAATATTAATTTTTGGTGAGAGAAATAAATGATTGAACACGTAAAAAATGGTTGTAGGATCCAAAGTGTCAGGAGTTCTATTTAGAATTGGACTCTTAAATAAGGATAACCCGTCGGCCTACTCGGTTTGGGCACGGGCCTTAGTTTTTGATCCTTGGCAATACTGTGAATTGTAATTTTTTTTTTTTTTTTGTTACAAATTTATTTGCAGAATTGTTGTCCAAGTAGAGATGTTACGCAATAACAAGTCATTCGTGAGCTTGACTCGGCTCGACTCATTTATTTGATAAATAAACCGAGCTTGGGCTCGTTGAAGGCGCGTTGGGCTAATTAGGGTTTTTTTAAATTAACGTTAATGTAATTATTCAATGTATTATTTCGTGAGGAGAAGATTTAATTATTAGGAACATATGTTATGGGTTTGTTCTGAAAAATAAATGTCGTCCCATGATTGTTACTTGTTACTATATACATGAAGCAAGCAAAGGGCCTTTTGGTGCAACAAGAAACAATTGGTTTAAAATATCGAATTACAATGGAAAATTCAATGAAACAATATTCGAATAGAAATTTGTACGAATATTCCAATTTTATAACTTTTGTTGGTATAATCTTAGCGGTGTTCCAACCAAAGTCAACACTAAAATCTTCCATTGCCATTAAATTTATTCTTGGAAGTTGGCGATTCCAACAATAATTTTTCCAATAATTCATTATCGTAGGAATTTTCGCTGGAATTGTTTTATCCACCAAGAATTCCGACCATTGAAAAATTATTGTTGAAATCATCAAAATTCAACAAACATGCCAACAAAAAAAACCAATCATAACGGAATATATACGTTGAAACGAGTTTTATAACATTGAAATATTCATTGCAACTGCCATTAAAATTTTGTTGTAATATATCGCCCGTTAAAATTTGCCGTTGGGATTTGATGATAAATTTTTTTTTGTAAATAAAATAACAAAGAAAACTAAATAATATTTTATTTATCAATGAGTAATTAATAATTTAACTGCTATTTTCCAAGAATTACTAAAACCTTAAGCTTCCTCCTCCAACTACAAAAAAAAATAAAAGATTACCTTATTGAGACTCTCTATCTCTAACCACCAAGCATCTCACTTGCAAACCACGCAAATTGCCTGAAACAAACAAATGTGACCCATCACTTGCCAATTGCCATAAAACATTACAAAACATGAACACAAACATCCCTACACTTTTAAAATCCTTTAACATTCTTAATCCCACCACAAATACCACAATTAATTAACTCATCCAATGATATTCTAATCTAAATGGCATTCAAGAACATGATACTATCCATGCTGGCAAAGTTACTGGGCCCACCGCCCGTCTGCGAAAATGCCGTGCCGAAAAGAGTGTGTGCTGTTTGCCTGTCGAGCTTGAATGGTGGGGAGGTGAGAGTTACACGCGTGCTGCCATGTCAGCACGAGTTCCACGTCATTTGCGTGGACAGGTGGCTGGCCGTGCCGTGTTTCAAGAGCACTTGCCCTGTTTGCAGGTTCTCGATCGATGATTGTGAGCCAATCGACTGTTTCTTTACTGATGAAATGGTTATTTGGTTTTCTTCTTTTCATGTTGCTGGCTTCTGATCAGGATCAGCTCTTTTTTGTCCGTATAAATTTCATATGTATGTGCAGATGTAATGTACCACTCATGGATGATATTAAGTTCTCATCTGTGGCAAAGAATGAAATGCCTTTTCTCTAATTCTCCAGTACAACCTGATTTTTTTTTTTAATTTTTTTTTTTTTTTCTGTAAATATAAAGGAGCAAAAAATTATAGTTGGGCAAAGCTAGAATTTGTCCATGACAAAGTAGGTTAAATTTAGAATTTACTGGGAAGCAAAATAGTGACAAAAATGCATTTTTAGTCGTGTTGGTTTAACGCCATAGCAGTTTTAGTCCCAAGGTTCCAACGTCTCGCCTTTTTGGTCATGTGATTTAATAATTTGCTGCAAATGACTGAAATTGCAACAAAATTTTAAATTATAGGACTCAAATTGCTAATCGAAAATCTAGGAATTCGGGAATTTGTTGCAATTTTAGTCCTCAGAAATTGCAGCAAAATATTAAATCACATGACCAAGAAGCGAGATGTTGGAACCTTGGGACTAAAATTGCTATGGCGTTAAACCAATAGGATTAAAAATGCAGTTTTGCCCAAAATAGTTAACATATAATATTAAACAAATGTTTTTCATAGGTTATATATTTGCATGGATTTTAACATGTCCTTGGCAATCATTCAAAGCATAACTTCAAAAAGATCAAGATTAACTTCCAAATCTACCCCTACAGTTTAGCTTCATACCAGATGAACCGTAAAATATCGAAACTGCAAACTTCAAGCTCAAGATTTGTCGAATTCGACTCCTAAAACCTGCATCAACTCATCTTGGCACACGATTTTCGGACCCTGATCCTTCTTCAGGACCAACATCCCCCGAGCCACCCGATCATCACAAACCTGCATTTTTCCCGTGCGTGGTGAATCAGCATTGTCCGAATCGGGACATCCTTCTTCTTTCCCATTTTCTGGGAACTCGAAATTCGGGCACATGCAACTCTGCAAGAATGAATCAGAGGCATTAGCTTCCACGTGGTGAGTCGAGGGAATGCTTACAGTCTCGTTGTTTGCCGGGAAGTAGCATTTGATTGCCAGCTCGGATTGGATTTTTTCTTTGAGGGTGGCCATTTTCGGTTTTTCACCATGTACGAGGATGACGTGCTTTGGGGATAAAAACTTGATGAGGTCCATGATTCCCTTGGCATCAGTGTGGGGACTGAACGACAATTGGTGAATCTGGGAAGAAAATTGAAGAATGAAATATAATTAGTCATTGCTATATATATATATGGAGCGATCGTTACGAAAGAAGCTCCTTCAGGTTTGAGCTAATTGCAAGAAAATCCAGAGGAGTGTTACAATGACTGCAAAAAAGAAGAAAGTGTGCACCTCGATTTTCAAATAGATCAAATGATAAGGTCTTTTTTCAATGCTTTTGAATCTTTGATGTAAATATGTCAAACCTATGAGCTTTTTTTTTGTTTTTCTTTTGTAAATATTTTTCGGTGAACTGCAGAATCGTAGATTAATAGTACAGACTACAACTCATGCCTCTAACCAGAAAAAAAAAAATAAAAAAAAATAAAAAAAAAAAAATAATAATAATAAAAGATTAGCTTCTGATAAAAGTTGAAATATTTCCAATTTAAGCCGACATAAAGTATTCTGAATAAATGAATTAGAAAAAGTCCAAAAATGAAATATAGGGAAACCGAGGTAACTTAAGAATGAGGGAGGATAGAACCTCGCATCGCACATCAATGTGGACACCCTCATCAAGCCTAATTTGGGTTGGTGTTTTGGCTGACATTAATTTGTGTCCAATAGTTCCAGCCACACAGTATCTGATGAGGAAACCAAGAAAGTACCAAAAGGATTTCAATTAGAGAGCATGAAAAGAAGAAAATTGATAGTTTCGAAAGAGATAGTGAGTATGTTTCAGCAAGATCTATCAAAGTTGCATTGTCTTTTTTTTTTTTTTTTGCACGACAAAAGCAAAGCATTTCCAATTAATAAATGGAAAAGAATGCTATCGCACCTCAATGAAAACGATATTTTCTTAGCACTTCAGGTAATGTAACAAGTGAGGATTCATTTTAAAAAAAAGTTACCCATTATATCCTGTACTAACTATCATAGTGTGCCATCAACTTTTTTTTTTCAGTTTTGATTTCCTTTATTAAATCGATATAGAAGGAATTTATCAAAATATCCAAAGGCGTTCTTAGGAAATCTGAGAATCCTTAACATTCAATAAGGTAACACATACCCTGGCAACGCAACAAGATTTCCTTCATATGGGGCCCACTGCTTGAAAACTTCAAGTGAGAAACCTCCGCTAATCATTCCAGGTGTCGCAAAAAGAACGCAAGGACCCGGAGAGTTAATCAAAGAACGATCAAAACTGGAGACTGAAAATTTAAACTTTAGTTTAAGCTAATGCATTTATACACTGGATCGTATGGCATGCACATGATCAGAAATTTGATATGTTATAGACAAATTACAGTCAATTGTACGGTCTGACAACTGTAAATCCATGTACTAATATACAGCTCATGTATTTACATTTTTACTGACGCACCATATATTTTCATGTCATCTACTAAATAAGCATGAAAAACCTCAAAGATTAGTTCAATTTAGTGGATGGAAAGGTAACTATGGTATATGCTTCGAACTAGTTGGACAATAAAATCTCATGCAATTGTGGAATTACCATTTTTGAAGTCAAATGCATTTCGTGTTGCATAAGTATCCTTCACCTTCTGGCTGGTCCAGTTGATAAGAACTTTATAGTAAAAATTCGCTTGTATGGTCAATCCTGAGAATGAATACTCTCGAGTTAATGAGCTGAGTCGCATACTATAATAAAACTTACCACTGGTAGATTACAGACATATCAACTAACACAGATAATGAATTTCAATTGTAGAATACAAAAAAAAAAAAAGAGAAATAAATTGGAGGAGAAACAGGTATTTTTATGTACTAGTATTGTTCCCATGCAAATGCACGGGTATTACAAATAAAAATATTATTTTTAAAATAAATTATAAATTGTACAAATATTAATATACATTTTAAAAAATTATGTACAATATTTTCCTTTCCCTATTGTCTTGCAAATTTTAAATTAATATTTTCAACTCATTCTCTTTTAGCTTGGGAAATAACATAGAGTTAACTATATATATTTAATGCAACAATTTTTATTTCTAAAGTTTAAAAAGTCTAAAGTTGTATGTTTCTGAAACTCAAATATCGAAAGTTTTTAAAATAGATCTTACTTTGCATGAAAAAAATCATAATAGTGTTGGCATTTTGAGTAAAAGTGCTGACTTTTTTTTTTTTTTT